TGCTAAACAGTCGTTTTATTATCAGGTTACAGTTGAACTGATGAAAACTTAAGAGTACAACCCAAAAAATAATACGAGTGTGTGTAATTTTTAGGCGCGGTTCAACTAAAACTTCACCATTGCTATCAAACTTTCACTGCTGAATAAAGGTGTCGCCCATAGATTGCCTCATTTGGGAGATATTTGTCATAGTCGGCACGCTTGACAGGAGGTTTTGCATCCGCAGTGTTTTCTACGTTATTTTGAGTTGTTATCATGAAGGTGCCGCCCAACTACTATATATACTACATTATGTATCTACATCAAGTACTTCTAGTAAAATGCGAAATCGACTAATTGTAAGATCTGCACTCGGTATACGTGTTAGAGACCGAATTGTGTCTCTACCACGTTGAGTAGAAGGACCATGCTCTAACAGAATACCAGCGTAAAATAGCAGCTTAATGCTGCTGTGTATGGTGAGTGTAGAGAACCGGATACCCTTTTTTCTGAAAACGAGAAATCTATCTTTAGTTCTGTGGTGTGACAAAGCATCTGCATTTTTGATTCTATGGGCTACAGCATCCACTTACCATCAGGAAGATTGTGTGCTCGTTTGTCCCTTTATTCTGTAGAAAAAAAATGTAAATTAGTAGCCTGAACGTATTATTTATCTTTACTTAGTCGGGTCATAAGTTCTGTCAAAAACTTTTTATAAAATTAATAATACAATTTTTGATAATTATATAGAAATTATATATGAAATGAAAGGTAATTTAATTTAGAATACAATTTTATTCACATTATTCAAAATCCCCTCCCCTATTTTGAATACGTCGTACCCTTAATCATCAATCGCAGCACGCACCACACTCATATCTATTTCTGCCGCTGCTTTAGCCAAAGATGCTCGTAGAGATTCCAAATTCTGATGAGGTTTAGCGCAGACTTTCATATCCAAATGTTGCCATATCTTATAATCCAGTGGGCTTAAATCTGGACTAGAAGAGGGCCAGTCTTCATGTCCGATAAAGTCAATTCCATGGATGGTCAACCAGTTTTGCGTGCTTCGTGCCCTATGAGCTATTATTTCATTTAAAGTCCCAAATAAATGTAAGACCATAGTGTTCAAGAAATTGTTAAAATCGATAAACATTTAATTATTTAGTCTATTCAATATTTTAAAGATTATAAATATAACAATGTTTGTAATAATGGCGACGGAAATAAAATATAAGAATACTTTTTATTCTTATATTCATATTTTTATTATTATACACTTCCTAGATGTTTAAGAAATTCAAAAAATACTAGTTGATCACATTGAGGTATAATGTACTACGTACTAGAGAAGACGCCTCAACTCGATTGTTTGTAACACGCGTTAGAGTGCGCGCTCTCAAACTCACTTAGTCTGTAGCAAGCGGTTGTTGCGACGTGAGAAGTTAAAGTGAAGAATTATTTTTAAATTAATATGCCTTCGTGTGCATTGAGATACTGTTCAAACTACTCGAGAAATATAAGGAAAAGTCAAGGAGTGAATTTTCACCAGTAATTTAAACTTATTATTATCTTTAAAACACGCTTAATTTAATTATATTTTATCAACTGCAACGTATACGTGAATGTCAAAGAGTAAAACATTTTATGCGCAGACTTGACACTATCGACGTATAATGTTAAGTAATTATGAGCAGTAAAATATTTATATATAATCACTGTAGGAAATGTTAATGCATTAAAATTAATATTTTTTATTATTATTTTTATTTAATGGTTTCCTCGGCTGTGTCATGAAACAAAATAATCATGGATCAAATTTGTTCAGAAGAATTGCAGCGAAGAAACGTTCACGCATATTTTCCGTGCAGTTCAAAAAAAATTACAAATACACCGCAAAAACAGGAAGAGTGTACTTCAAGAAATAAGCAGTACCATGCGATAATGTAATTATATAACATTGCTGGGATTTTTGTTTTATTTTTTGATTAGACGACGAACGAATGTTTTGTAATGTTCAGTATATTTACGGGACTTAAGAGAGGCGGAAACCTCGGCGCGCGAGTCATTCTAGTATATGACGGTTTTTTAACACTGTAACACTGGAATTTTTGCAGGCTTCCCAAATAACTAGTATCTTTTTTTCAGCCAATAAAATGCTGGAACAGAAAGTATCGGAACCGTTGTCTGAATCAATAAGCAGTACAAATTCAATTTCAGATAGTCCGATAGACTTAAAAATAAATTACGCAAGTGATGTCTCCTAAGCTAAGTTTGGGTGATGTATACGAAGCCTAAGCTTTTAAATATAGTTCTACCTTAATAACGGAATCAATAATTCTAGGTTATTATAAAAAGAATAAAATATAAGCACGTTGTAATATTGTGTTTGTATTTAATAGCAAGGAATCTGCATCTAGAAAGAAACTTACTGAGAAATTTAAGACGATGAAGATGTGCTTCTTACAAATCAATTGTAGAAAATTTGAAACATAAATTCGGTCTCAACTTAAATGCTGAGATTGATTTAATGGGTAAACATAAGTTATGGAGTAACATAAATCTTTAACGAAAAAGAATAAACAGAGCACGCATTATTAATTATACACTGCATGCACCTTTACGTAAATTCGCATTGATTTTACACTATTATTCACCAGCTGCGTAGAAATACGTTAGAAAATGCTAGAAAAGTAATAATAATGATCTTTGAAAATAAATGCATATTTTTATATTCTACATATTTACCTTTTAAAGTATTAAATAAAATATAATTAAAATGTAATTCTGACATACTATTATGTTACATTATATTAACACATTATGCAATATAAATATCAATTTAAAAATTGTACTCGATACAATTTACAATACAATCTAAATAAACATTTACTTATTGCATACTGATCATTCAACCTACGTATATAATCTATGATGACAAAAACCGCGCATGCGCGACTGTACTATTTACCGCGCATGCGCGAAGACATAGAGTAGTGCACAGTTTTTGTTCCGAATAGCTTCTCTAGTACGTAGTACATTATATCTCAATGGTTGATTAATAAGTTTATGGAAACGCAATGAAATTCTAGGATAAGTATATGGAAATTGTATTTATTTTTAAACGTAATCGCCTTTTGCAAGTCGGTTAATTGCCCTTGTAAAAACAGGCTTTATCCTGGGACTCGAAAAAGGCCTCTACAGCACACATCACACTATTGTCGCCGTTAAATTTTATACCATGCTAGTGCTTTTTCAGTTGAGTAAAAGGGAAAAAGTTACTCCGAGCTCGGTCCAGAAAATATTGTAAGTGCTGCATCAACTAAAAACCCAGCAGTTTGGGTGGCTACGCCTACAACATCAGATCGATGGGCAGGTCAGATCAGACATTGTCATGTTAAAAAGCACTCCTGCACGCAAATTTCCTCGACGTTTATTCTTTAGTTCTTCGGGTAGTTTTTTGATTAATGATGCGTAATAATCTCCGGTTATTGTCCCTCTTTTACTTAAATAGTGGATTATTATTATGTCTTCCGCATCCTAGAAGACAGAGGCCATTATTATTCCAGTGGACGTAGCCACATTGAATCTCTTGGCTAGCGGGGAAGACGGTCTTTTCCACTTTTTCCACTTTAACGGTCATTTTTCGTCTTTGGGTCAAAATGATGTACTTATGATACATCTACGGTTACGAAACGAGCGCAAAAAGAATCTAGATCTTCTTCAATTATTGCTAAATTTAGCTTTAAAATGTCAATATTTGCTTCTTTTGGGCGTCTGTTTCAACATTTGAGGAAACCAGCGCGCGGCCTACTTTTTGAATTTTAAAGTATGAGTTAAAATAAACTGAATCGTCCACTTTAGAAAAGCTTCAGAATCTAAGCTAAATAACATAAAGTCACACGTCGATTTACCTTAACAATTTCTTCGATTTTTGCACGCCTCATAACGCAAACCGTTATTCGGCAGTGTATTACTCTTGACACGTCAAGGTCAAACAATTTTGTGGTCTTAAAATGCCTCTATCATAACCATTTTGCACTTATACGATAATTTGAGTAGCCGTATATCAAGAAAATACTCTAATTAATCCATCTTATATTTTCTAGAAGATCATTTTATAGCACTTGGTTTTTAATTTAGTTTTTTTCTGGACTAGTAACGAATTTAAGATTCGGAAAAAATAGAACGCATTTCTATAACTCATTGATAAGTGTCCTATTCCGAAAACATATTGATCAACCTAGTAAGAAGCTTAATTAAACAACAATTTTGTTTTACATTTGGTTGCGACGCCATTCACTATACCGTAGAGTTCTTTACTCAACAATAGTGTTATGTATGAAAAGATCTGAATTATCCTCTCGTCACACCTAAAGAAGTTTTATTTTAAAAGTTTACATTAATTGATTTAAAATTATGAGTTTCAAAGGTCAAATTTTTTAGTTAATTATCTATTTAAAACCACTGACTGGATATGTATACCCAACATGTGTAAATTTCATAATGTAATAAAAGGTAACAGTCTACATACGTCACACTGCTGTGCACACTTCAGACTTATGTTGCTGAGTAAGGGTGTGGTTCAGTAAAGTATCCGGTGCGATGTCCCAGTGTGTTGGCAGGTTTCACATAATTTCAAAATTCTTTAAAATTTTTAGACGTACATTTTCCCTCAAGATATGTTCTATTGTCGTCGAGCATGGGGTAATTCTGTACTATTAACAATTTTAGTGGTGCCGATCGTAATCGGACAGGGGTTGATTCACGATGAACCACGCTTCAGCGCCTAGCGATAGTTAATGAACAACATTTTATATTATTATTATTTCAAATTAAAATGTTGAATTTCAAAATATATTTTTTATTACATTTTATATTATTATTATTTCAAATTAAAATGTTGAATTTCAAAATTTATTTTATTTCCGTTTTTGATAATTTAATATGGAAAATGCATTAAAACTGCAGGGCTCTTTTCGTTTAACTTTAATAAAAGCAATAATTTCTTTGTCACACAGACTGTTTCCATTTCGATGCTGCTTCGATATGCGCACCATCAGATCTTCGTGTTTATAGGTAAGTCTTGTTTATAATATATTTTATTGCACTGACACTGGTAAGAATTTCTTGAAAGATCATTGTATCAAAATACACAGTCTTTGATACACTAATAAAAATAAAAACGTTGACCTGCTACTATAATAAGATTTAGTGTTTTTATTGATTAAATAAAGAAAAATAAAATAAGAAACAAGAAATGTTGTTGAAAAATAAAATTGATTATCTTTACAAGTACCTCGTAGGTTAATAATGCATCTTCAATGATTATTCATAATCAAATTGAAGTTATAAATATCTCCTTGTGGAACAAGGTCCCGGGTTCGACGAAATTGCACGAAAAGTTTATTGTGTCATTAAAAATTTAGAAAAAATTCGTAAAACATTTTGAAGCATATCCCACGTGTGTTCAATCGGATTCAAGTCCGGGAATTGCGAGGTCCAGTCCAGGTTGCTGCGTATGTTGGCAGCATGTATAAGCATAAAACTTGTCCGATTTGCAAACGTCGTAGTAGAACTACAGGCTCCTTATCTCGGTATTTTGCAGCCATTTTATTTGAAGTGCACACAAACGAGGTCAGTTCTCTCGTTAAGGCATGTTTCTGCCCACAAGATGATTGTTCCACCTTGATGTGGATGGATTTTATAATCATTTTTCAGTTAGCTTTAACATCCAAATGTTCAACAAACACATATCCTTTGTTCGCGCAAAACACTGTTGTCGGAGTCGACACCAGATGTCACTCGGCTCGGCGCGATTCCGGTTTAAAGTTCGGCTGGGCGTGGCACGAGCGCGCGAGTCGCGAGCGAAAAGTCAGTCGTCCATAATCGGTGCTGACGTGAGCACGCGGTCCATTCTGTTAGGGAACTCGGAATAATTCGGCGCGGCCAGTAAATATACGGTCTATCATTGTGACGCGCTTTCCTACTGGAGAGCTTCCCGGGACTTATTGTGTCTGACTCAAAACCTGCATAAGTGCATTCGGCAATATTAGATAGTGCGGCCTCTGATTCTAGAATTAACTATTGCTACGCGAAACGGTAGTGACCTTTGACCCTTTAAACTCCGTGTGCGTTTGTGCTGTAACCATTATACCCAGCGATAGTTAGTGGCTTATGTAAGTTAGTAAATCGTACGATAGAGTTAATTGACTGTCAACGTGACGAAAGAAGAAAGTGACTGTGGACAACCTCGAAAGGCGCCCTCAAGTTGGAACGGTGTCGACGCTCGGGCTGCTGCCGACGGCCAAGGTCTAGGTTCAATCACCATCAGTCACACCCAGATACACACCACATCACCATTCCTTCCCTTGCACTACACAACCACATGCGACCTGACCGACTCCGGAGGGACCAGTCGCCTTGGATAGGTAAGTAAGCTTCATCCAAATTCCTTCCGGTCGACTGGCCGTAGTATAACGCTCCCCCATATATTTTAATGTAATTAGGAATTTCCACGTGGCCACATTGGGGCCCGACCTACGTCTGTTCGGGAAATCTTCAGCTCATGGGCCCCTGAAGATTGGATCCTTTAAGGGAGCAGCCGTAGGCCGTAACAAACTGGTAGCAGAGCGCGGTTCCGGGTTCGATTCCCGGTCGATCCCGAACATAGTGTTTGATAAACATTAAACAATTCTGGTGGCAGGGAGCGTTGGTTTGATTGGTTTAATTTGTATCTACAATCACGCCCGTCCGTAATACGTAAAAATATTTTTTTGTACGTAATAATAGAATTATTTCCCTTTGTTCTTTGTTGCTTGCCTTTTTTTTGGTTAGTGGGTAGATTTGAAAAGCCGCGCCCTAGGTTGCGCAAGCGGGAGTTTTCCAGAGATATACGTCATGTAGGTAGATGGTTATTTTTACGTAATCGGTTAATTATCGTTTTCGGATGGTTGTAGTGGATTACTTATCGAAGGGTCGATTTCCGAGCTAGGCATTTTTTGTTGATCGACCGTGATGTGTATCTTCGTTTATACTGTAAGTTGTATTTGAACTAAAGAGTAGTACTGGTATTTGCGCCATTTGAATTTAACTTGATTTGATCGCACTAGTATTTGTTATTTGTTAATTTGATTTGTGCCTTTTCTTTTGTGCTAACTTGTATTTGGTTGATACGTAGTAATTCGTATTTGTGTAATTTCTATTCAACGCGATTTGATAGGAACTGCATTTATTAACTGTTAATTTTTGTTGTATTTTTTGTTTGTTATCTTTGTAATCTGTGCTCAAGCCGCGTCGTAATTTGCATTTAATAGTGATGACATCGCCCAAGCTACTGATCCGTTGTTTGCGGACTGAGCTACGCTGGGCCACAAGCGCCCATGCTTTGATAGGTCGACCGGATAGGGTCCATAACTTGATGAAGCGGTTCGAGCAGGTGGATGCTCGAAGGGCCGCAGTGGAGGAGGCTTACGCTGAGCTCGAGGATTCGGATGTGGAGAAGGGAGTCCTGGACTCCTGCTTCGCGGACTATGAGCAGTTCTTGTGGCTCACGGACGAGTTGATCGAGGCTGAAGGCAGGTATGCCGAGGAGGCGCGTGAAGCTCGGATGAGTGACCTGTCCGAGTCCTCTCTGACGCAGCTTCAGCCGGAGCTGTTGGGACTACTCCCAACTCTGGACCTGCCAAAGTTCTCCGGGGTCCTTTCCGAATGGCTGACCTTCGTTGGTCTTTTCGACAGCCTAGTGGACGCCCGGAGTGACTTGACCCCGAGCCAAAAGATGGTGTACCTCCTGGCCTCACTGGAGGGGGAGGCCCTGGGCGTCGTCGGCCACTTGAGATTGTCGGACGACGCCTACCAGACTGCTCGGGACCTCCTAGCCAGAAGATACGCCAATGTCCGGCGAATTGCGGACGAACATGTTAAGCAGCTTCTAAGCCTCCCGCTGCTTAGTGACCGGGCCAGACTGCGTCCGGACCTGTTGGATCCAGTCTTGGTGGCCTGTAATACATTGAGGCGGCTGGGTTTACCAGTGGGCGAATGGGCTTTTTTGTTGCTCCGCATCGTGCTGTCCCGTCTACCTCTCGACCTGCGAATCCATTTTGAGGAGAGGTACGGCGGGGACGAGGCCTCCTATATTTCGCCCTTCTATGACCTGCTGCGGTTTTTGGAGGAGCAGTGCCGGCAGATAGAGAGCGCGGCGGGCACCGTTGACGACTTACGAGTCGTGCCCAGTGAGAGGCTGAACCCGCCAGGCAAGTCGTCGTCAACCCCCCCCTGCTCCTATTGTCGAGCATCTGATCACCGGGTAACGTTGTGCCCGAAATTATTAGGTAAGCCGGTTCCAGCGAGGCGAACTATCGCCAAGGAGCGCCGCTGGTGCTGGTCATGTCTGGGAGGGCACCTCCAGCGAGACTGTCCGCATCGACGGCCCTGTCTGCATTGCCAGGGCAATCACCATGCCGTTTTGTGCCTGGGTGCGAACGGCGTCTCCTCTCGGGGCTCTGCCAGGCCCTCGACCCCCACGGGTGGGGGCGCTCAGCCACGCCCTCTGCTGGGCGACAATCGGCGCTCGCCGGCCAGCCACCAGGCCCCTAAGTTTGAAAGGGGCCCCTCCCCCAAGCAGTTGGGGGGTAATTCCCCCAGGGGCGGGGGTGTCATCACCCCCCCTCAGCGTGTGGAGAGGAACTTCACGGCCACTCATCGGTCCGCTGGACCCTTCTCACTTCCGTTAGCTGAGTGGCCGCGACTGGTGTACCACTGTTCCCCATTTGATGGAGGCGGCCCTGTCTAGCTGCCGCCTTAGCTCCCACCACGGCCGCCTCCACTGAGCCTTAAGCCGTCAACAGTCCACTTGTCAAAATGTTCTGTTGCCGACGGCCTCAGTGAAGGCGTACAACCCGAGTGACAACTGTTAGAGGTTGTGCTCTATTTATCTCGGGTTCACGCCATGTGGCCTCCCCTTGGTGGTGGGAAGATTAGGGCCCCTCTGGAGCGTTGAATCACGCTGTCAAGGGGTATTAGATTTGGTTTGGTCGAGCACTTAGTCAAAAAATACTTTAATTAAAATTAAAAAATTGCTTTGGGCTTTCCGCGAAATTTTCCTATTTGTAGCGGTTTAAATTAAAAGAATTGAATTTAATCTACTCCTTTAAATGCTACTGCATGTGTTTTGTACATATATTTAATCACTGTATTTGATTGTTGCGTCTGTTTGCTGAAAGGAAAATTTGAATTCATCTGAAATTGAATGGCGCACTATTTGAAAAATTATGTTTATGTTTATGATAGTGTTTAATCATTTTGCTTTACGAAGAAGTAGGGCTGTCCCTTACGTTATTGTTTTGTTTAATTTGCAAGTTGACCTATGCGCATCGGTGATTAATTTGGTTGAATTAATTCTGTAGTTTAACATTGATGCTTTTGAAAAATTAGTTGAAATATGAGCATAGGACTACTTGCCTAACAGGCTAGCTAGTTTTGGAGATTATCAGATTGAAATCAGCTGCCGCACTATTTTAGTAAATGATAATATGGTGGGTGGCCTGGCTAGGCCTACTTGTTGAAAATTCATACTAGGGACTATCTGTGCGTTTCGTTTGGCTCTCCACAGACGACGTTCATGTGGAATTTGTGGGTGAGCTCTGCACTGAAGCAACTGCTGGCACAAAATTGGTCTGGGCAGCTTCGTGTAGCGTTGCTGTTTGCAGAACTGATCCGGTCGGATTGCGGAACTAATCATAGGGGCACAGATAGGTGTTTGAAATAGGTCGTCGGACTTCTGTCCAGTACCGGACTTATTAAAGTGCTGCAATGCCCAGGAGGGGCATCCAGTGGAGGCTGACCCTCCGGCTTGCCACATTAGGGCTATCTTTTGAGGCGTTGATTAGGGTTGCAGGATCTGATGGGTTGCCTAAGGTGGCCTAGTTTGGTTGTAGATTCGGTCTTGCAACTTGCCATCGCGACCTTGTCTCGCTGCCCGGTTTGCTCGCGGACCTAAATCCTTATGTCCGGGACGGGGGTTTGTTCGCGCAAAACACTGTTGTCGGAGTCGACACCAGATGTCACTCGGCTCGGCG